TGCAGTATATTTATTGCCCGTTGTTTCCCGGGCATTAGTCGTCGATCGTTGAATTCGTTTGGATGATCGTCCCCCGCGCGAGTGATTCACCCTGAGTCAGCGATTCGTTTCGTCGTATTTAATGTCCTGGAAGCGAGGAATCGCGAGGCGGGACACGGTTACGAACGCCACGCGCTGCAGGTTGTTCCGACTCGACGTCGGAACGATATTTCCAGCGTTCACGACTCGGCCGTGGAGCATCCAACGACGCTGTTGGCGTGGAACGAAGCGCGGGCCGCGGCGTTCCTCTTTTCTTGGCGAAGATTTACCCGAAGATACCCGGGGATTACGTAACGCGTCACGCCGGCGACCCTAACCGTTCTACTTGCAGCTTTGTTCGCGATAAAATATGTCGCGTCCGCCGCGGCACGGTCGAGAAAATTCGAGGATCACGCGAAGGGAATGCTGATGATGTACACCGACCGGCCAATGGGTCTACTTTACTCGAAGAAGACACTTGGAGGACTCTCCTCCATGTTGCATGGAAATCGATAAAATTTTATTCGAACAACGCAGAGGGTCCATTAGAATTTATTTGCAGCGTTTGTACTTTCGTTTTTACGGATAATTATGGTGTATTTATTAATACCAGAGAAATTAAACCGAAAGATTCTCAAAGAAAAAACTACGGTGAACTTTCAGAAATCCAGTCGAGTAAATTCTGTTTTAATTTCTATTAGAAATTATTAAGTTTAACTGAACCGAGGTTATTGCAATGGAGGCCACGAAAGTATCGTGTTAGAAAAATCAAAATTAAAAAAATTTTTTTTTTAGAGCGATCGTTGAAGGATTGTTGGTTGTAGAATATCTGTCTCTTCAATATTCATTTTCCATCTCTGGTACGTAGTTGATAAGGGTTGGGACCCCCGTTATCAAGGGGGTAAAATAAAAAAAAAAAATTACCAAGAAGAATTTCGAAGCTCGATTTCGGACGAAATAAAATCCCGATAAACGCGGCTCTATCGTTTCGTCGTTCGGAAATTTGTGTCCGGCCAAGGAACGTTCGCCCAATCCCCGCGTCGGATCGTCTTCTTTCCCCGATCGAACTGTTTTTCGCGTCTCGTCTTCGCGCGTAGCCGTCGTCGGGTGCCGCTAACAAGATAAAATATATCGGGACGGTCGATCGACGGCGCAAACGGGGAACTTTTCGTTTCTAGTCTTTCGAAAATCGTTACTCGCCCCGAGGGGGCGGGGGGGGGGGAAAGAAAAAAGTTCTCGTGCTCGCTTGGCGCGATTAGGGCGAAAAGGGACAGCGTGGGGGTGGGTGGGACGGTGGAAAGAGAGAGAGGGGGGGAGGGGGGGATTGGAGTGTCACGGAAAAGCAGAGCGACAGAAAGAGAGAGAGACACAGAGAAGCGTGAGAGGGAAAGAGAGGGAAAAATAAAAGGAAAAGGAGAAGGAGTGACGCGAAGCGGAGAGCGGAGAGGGGGGGACGGAGGTGGAGCTTGGTACGAGGACGTTGGAGAACGGCCGTAGATACAGTTAGTGGCGTCGCCGTCGGACGTCCTCGGGCGACGGCGCCACCGTCGTCCTCGTGCAGGCGTCCCTCGACTAAAGTAGGTTAGGTCGATGAGGCCACGACGATACCGCCGCCGCCGTCGCCTCCGCGGTTTCTGCGCAGCGGTCTCGATTCTCTCTGCCTTCTCTCTGCGGCCCGTCTTCCTTCGTTCCTACCGACGATTCCGCGAATAGTCACCTACTGCTCGTAGTTACGCTCCATGATCGATTTTCGTTGCTTTTAACCATAATCCGCTCCAAGCAGGATCTCGACAAAAATCGCGAAACCACCATCGTGCCAGACTCGCATACTTGGTTATTCGAATTTATTTTAAACAAAGAACGAATATATATATTCCCTGGACACCGTAGTTAGACAACCGACAATCAAATTCAAAGAAAATTTGCAAAGTAATATAACCAAATAGTATTCTATTTTTTTTCTTTTGTTTTGAAACAATTTGCTTACTAATATTAATATATATAAGGATTTTGTTTGGAATCCATAGTCTTCAAAATTGTTGAATGTATGTAACAAATAATAATTTTGTCGAGTATTGGAATTAGGTTTCAGTAGACGAATGCACACGCGAGGTAGAATGGATCAACTGGGTCCAATAAAAAATCAGGATTATAATAGGTACGGCAATTTAGTCAGTCAGATCGCAAATATGAGAAATGGTCGTTTTATGGCTATATTTTGAGATGATTAATCGCATCCCGAACGAAAGAAAGCGTCTGGCTAGGATGTCTCGCGAGTGGGATTTATTTCTATTAAAAAGTTTGTCACGTATTTTTCGGGGTAGAGGCGCTTCTGCGGCATATCGTTGTTAATTTCTAAGGTTTATTACGTTCCAAATACTTTGCTATAATCTTTTAGATGTTATCCTGGAGGCTGACGGTAGGAAATAGAGCGTAGTATACATTCGAAAGCTGTCTATAACGTTCAATTGGTAAAATAAATACTCCTGCGTTGTTTTATATGAACCGTTGACCACAAGGTACTAAAATTTGGACAAAATTTAAATAATAAGTAACCAATAAAATCAATATAATTAAAAAATATTTCAACAAGTAACAAATATATAGTATCGTTAGCTATTTAATGTCGTGAAAAATATTTTCTCGGTCCACTTTGTTGGATCGATCGTTTGGGAACGAAATCAGAAACGACGATTTTAAAAAATCGAAATTTTGTTAGGTAATGCTTTGTAATCGCGAGTCTATCGATCTTCTCATCTATTCTGCCCTCGAGGATTCACCGTCCACGGAATCGTGTGACAGTGCCGGAGGCGAAAGTTTCGGGGATTTTAGCGTGTTTTAATATTTAACTGGAAACAGTGAAATTCGCGAAACGAAAACTAATAGTTTGCGTCGTCGAGTTCTGGTCGAGTTGACCGGGTCAATAATAGTTAGCTTCGGTTACAATCTCGTCGATTTTTCTATTTCGCTTCCTACTTCGTTCTGCAGGTAGCAAAACTAAAGTTACCTCGGCCATGATATCAATATCGCAATTTTGCCTATCGAAATTTCTGAACACTGGTATAGTGCCTCAAATTGGTCATTAGTGCACGATAGTGGCGATAATGATATTTAAGGTACGCGAGTTGGACACATAATACAGTAAATCTCCGTTATAAGGTCACCAGATTCTGTTCGTTGTAAGGTTATCGCTGTCCCCACTGACTTGGATCCCCCCTCGAAATTTGTGAAGTCTAAAAAACGATATAAAACGAAACAAGCATCGATGAAGTACAACAAACTACGGTCCTGATGGAAAATGAAATTTTAAAAAATTTCGTTTATCGAAGGAGTTCGCGAAAAAGTAAAATTTGTTGCTTTCCATCTTCCATATCCATAACAATTTCTTGCTATTTTCTAATATCGTATTTTGTCAAAATTACGTTTGTCAATTCCAAAATAATGACCGTAAGGATCACAAGTACGAAAGTGGCAATTAAACTTTAAATTACTATTAACAGAATAGTTTCATAAGTCCACGAAACGCAGAAACTACTCGCCAGCTATCCCAGAATGCTAATGGTCGCGTGTATAGTTACTCATAACGCCGCAGGATCGATTTTCCTGTTCCTGCCATCTAGTTTCAGTCCGCTAAAAAATTAATAACACTGGAAATCCAAATTTCTATATATTATTTCTACCATAATAATTCGTAAATATTGCGCAGGTCGATATAATTTTCAACACTGTTGCTAATCGTTTCTTCGTTCATTCGTAGCATTTATCGAGAAACGTGCAAATACATTTCGTCGAAACTCTGCTAATCAACGATACAGAAAGAATCGAGTTCAAATTTTCCCGCCAATAGCGCGACCATTGACGTAGCAACCTACCGTATCAGCGTTTGCTCGATTTCTTCTAACGTTTTTGCCTCACAAAGGTTTTTCCGTCAAATATTTCAAAGAATATTATTTGAATCTTTTTCAATAATATATATATATTTAAATCTCAAGAATAATACAATAATTATCGAAAGAAATAAAATGCAATTTAGTTGTCGATCTCGTCGCCATCCTTCCTTGCTTTTCTTCTTCTCGTCGTTTGACGTTCGTTCGTTCGATCATACACGCGTCAATATTTGAATTTAAATATAAAAGTAATTAAAATAAACTAGATAAATTCTTCGGGACGATCTTTGCACGGAAAGTTCGCCATGAAAGCACGAAGAAACGAGCTATCGTGGAACGCGAATGCGAGGGTTATCATGTAGGCCGCGTGACGTCATATCTCCTTAACAAAATGGCCGCCGCGACGACTCTACATCGGGTCATCGTATGCTAGAAAAATTTCTCTTCTTCGCAGTTACTTACGTCCTACTGCGTTACTCATACTTTCGATGATCAAAATTATTTCATAAGCATTCACAGACAAGATTAAATAACTTGAACAGAATTTTTAAAACTCATTGCAAAGAATTACGACATATTCAAATTTTATTCCAATATGTATATATCTAATTTAACATGAAACGATCCCAGTATATGAGAGAGGCGGTTTGCAATGTATATTTGGAAATCATTGAAAAAGGAACCATATCCAACTCCTTCAAAATTGCGAGGTTTTGGTTATCGATAAGTAATTTTACAGGAAGGCTTCCAAACAGTTGTTTGTAACATTGACCTTGACAAAATATTACAAGGTCATTGAAATTGGTCAGGTATACTCTGCTCTCAACAATTGCTAAAAAACGAACGAATTCTCCTGAAGCTCTACAGGAAGTAGCGTCGTGGTACACACCGATGGCCGGCAAAATGGCGGACGATTTGGGACCAAAAATTGAGAAAATTCGCTGGACCAGATAAATAACCAAAAATGGTTGAGAGACACTGATCTAGATAAAACATTATTCGTTATCTGCTGCTCTTCAGACGATCGTATGCTCGCGCAGTCTCATGCGCAAGGCTTGCGTTGCGGAGCTCTTTCACATGGACACGCTTGATCCGGAAACGCGAGGCAAGGCGACCACCAGCACCAATGGCGTCGCATGTTCGTTCACACGGGCACGAGAGAGCCTCCGAGCCTAGCACACGGTGCCTGCATCGTAGTTAGTAGCCTCGAACTCACCAGGCACAAAGCACACGCGAGCCCATAGTCCACGATGGAGAAACAAATAAAGGTTTTCGACGTGGAGTCGTTCGTAGAGGAGATCAAGGAACGTCCCGCTATATGGGACTATTCTTACCCGGACTACAATATCGGGAAGAGGAAGAAAGCAGCTTGGACGGAGATCTATTTGAAAGTTCATCCAGACTACAATGATATGCCCACGAAAGAGCAAGTTGCAGTCGGTAATTATTTACTCCATTTTCTTTGGTAACAAGCGAGGGACCGTGGTACCCTATGGTGAACCGTATTTCAATACGAGAGATAACATTAGTTCTGTGGCGTCGCCCCAGAGGGCCTCTTGTGTCTCTCGCAAGCGCTCGACCCCTCCGTTCCTATACAGGGTGTTCGCCTACCACGGAAAAATTTCAATGGGCGATTCTAGAGGCAAAAATATGACGAAAATCAAGAATTCCAATTTGTTGATCGAGGCTTCGTTAACTCACGCAGTAAGTGGAAAATTAAAAAATTTCAAATCGCTCTGGAAAAATTATTTTCGATTGCGGGGGTCAATTGCAATCATTTTTGGTCATTACACATACCCCTGAATTTCTACGCATTTTCGAGAAAAAAATTCAGTAAGGGAAGAAATTTTTCAGGCAAAATAAAAAATTTCAAATCATTCTAAAAAAATTATTTTCGATTGCGGGGGTCAATTGCAATCATTTTTGGTCATTACACATACCCCTGAATTTCTACGCATTTTCGAGAAAAAAATTCAGTAAGGGAAGAAATTTTTCAGGCAAAATAAAAAATTTCAAATCATTCTAAAAAAATTATTTTCGATTGCGGGGGTCAATTGCAATCATTTTTGGTCATTATACATACCCTCGAATTTCTACGCATTTTCGAGAAAAAAATTCAGTAAGGGAAGAAATTTTTCAGGCAAAATAAAAAATTTCAAATCATTCTAAAAAAAATATTTTCGGCTGTGGGGGTCCATTACAATCATTTTTGGTCATTACACATATCTTCGAATTCCTATGCATTTTCGAGAAAAAAATTCAGTAAGTAAAGACATTTTTCGGGCAAAATTAAAAAATGTCAAATCATTCTAAAAAAATTATTTTCGACTGTGGGGGTCCATTACAATCATTTTTGGTCATTACACATACCCCTGAATTCCTACTCAGTTTCGAGAAAAAAATTCAGGAAGGGAAGAAATTTTTCAGGCAAAATAACAAATTTCAAATCATTCTAAAAAAATTATTTTCGGTTGTGGGGGTCAATTACAATCATTTTTGGTCATTACACATGTCCTCGAATTCCTATGCATTTTCGAGAAAAAAATTCCTTACCGAAAATATGATGTCTGACCAGAACATATTCTACTGCGTATGTTCAAAATATCATAACTTCTGAACGGATTGGAGGATTTCAATGTTTCAAAATGCAAACAACGCGTATTTTAGTGAAGAATATGTAGAAGTTTCAAGAATATTCGAAAAGTTGTTCCTTGACTCCGTAAAGTGAGAAAAACGCCTGGCAGAACCGAAATTTCGATTGTTCTAGGTGTCGAGATACATAGAAGATGGAAGAATATGCGACAGTGTTTCAAACGAGAAATCGACAAGAGAAGGGCATTAAAATTCGGCTCTGGTCGGACTTGGACCACCTACGAGCACTTTGACGCGTTGTCGTTTCTCGTGCCGGTATTTGCTAAAAAGAAGTAAGCACGCACGTTCCAACACAAGAGACACGAAATCACTGTAGCGTTTAACGTATATGCTTAACGTGTTCAGAACTGTTTCAAAATCACACGACGATACGGGAAAAGAGAGGTCCGAGAACGAACGAGGAAAAGAATCGTTGGCAGAATCGCCGCAGCCAGGATCTTCCGCGCGTCGAGGAGTCAAAAGAAAATCTATCGAACGCGATCACGTGGAGGAACTTAGCCAAGTTTTGATAGAAAGTCTCTCGGAAAGGCGTGTCGTCGAGACGGAGGAGCACGACGACGATAAACATTTTTTACTGTCCCTCTTAAACTCGACGAAATCCGTTCCCCGTTGCTTGAAATTAGCGATGAGGACAGAAATCATGCAAGTCGTGGCGAAATATTGCACCTTGGGCACAGATACCCCGGAAAAATCCTGTCAATCTCCAGCCTGATCGTTCGTTCCCCTGAAATTAACGTTTCTCCACAACTAGGCGTTACATTGTTAAGTTACAACCCTTTGTTTGAATCGTCTCCATATTTGAGAAATTTGTATTTAAATAAATTGTGCATTCTATCGCTTTGTAATATGTCGCAAATAAATAAAATTATAATTTTTCAACGGTGGTAAATTCAATATCCTTTTTCTAGGTTTATTTGGTTTAAAAATTTCAATATTTCTTGCACTCAAGTTTGAACAATCAGGTTAATAACATACACGTATTAACGAATATTCAGGCCATATTTGCGCGTCTTATGTTTCTCTAATTGTGATTAGAAATTTTTACATTTCGACAGTTTCAAACTGATCTGTATAAAACTCGAGTATTAATTATTTCAATAACGATTTAAGTTTTGCTAGGCTATGTTAGGTACCTTCACTCAAATAGTCCCTGTAGTCTCCTCCAAAGCATTTCTAGAAATCCTTTTACACTTGTAATCGTTCGAGTACTCGGTACAAGGGACAGTTCGAGGAATTATTACTTTAATAATTTCCTCGTTAGCTGTCGGGACACCGCTCGCCTATGGAATTTCGAAAGGGATCACGGGACAAAAATGAGTGACACCCGTCGAGCGGACCGATCGGCGAAAATATTCCGCGGAAATCACACGCTAAACGCAAACAGAAACCCCGCGGCCGGTAAATATTTCGAAAATTTATTTTTGACGTGAACACTTTTCACGCAAACATTTCGGTAATTTGTTTTCGATACACACGCGTCGTTCCCGTACGCAACCGGCCCACGTTCATCGCGATAAACTAAATGACACGATGTTTTATTGACTGTGCGTAAAACAAATTTACGGAGTCGAAGTCAAACGCTCCGGCCACTTGCTGATCGTCCAACGATTCTCTCATTTTCACGAAAGAATTATGTCTTGGAAGGAACAAACGCGGATGGACGCAATTTCTATATGAAACAAATAACTTTTCGATTAATAAATATTCAAGATACGAGTTTAAAACCAGGTTTCGAATCGATGCAAATATTTGAAATAAAAAATGAAGCAACGATGCAAAGTTAGTTTTACGGGGAAATACTTCGATTACGAAATGAACAACTAAATGTTGGGGGATCGTGAATTATTATAACACGTTTGTTTTTCGAACATGGTCGATCAACCGCTGTAAATAAATATATCATGTTTCAAAGCTGAACTATTCGAGAATGAAAATATTAACTCGTGTATTTTTTTTTTTAATTGGTACTACCAATTACTACTTTCGTTACGTATTCTAATTAAATACGGAAATTTGTATCGACTTTCTAGTCGTGGAAAAGTCTGGTCCCGCGGCCTTTGATGGTTGCCGCCGTATAATTGTGTGTGCCTTTCTGTGGAAGGCTGTGCGAATTTGTGCCATCTTTAACGACTGGAGGAAACCTTGGGACTCTTTCGTCGTTCAATTTGTTATAAACTTCTCCAGGGACCGCGTTTATTTACAACGTTTGCCAAAATCGATACGCAACATCGACGAAAGACATCGAAACCGCGGTTTTTCATCGACATCGACAAATCTTTTCTTTGCTCGTTGTTCTTTATCCGCGTCGGGGCTTTGTATATCGCGAAAAATTAGTCGAAACGCGCGTATCGGTCGTAATAAAGGTTCCGCGGTATTCATTAATGGAATCGGTTCGCGGCAAAATTGAATTTCAACGAATAAAAGTGAAAAAAGGAAGAAAAAATACCGACGGTTGAACGGGTTTCTGTTCGCGCGTTCAATTCAACCGAACAAACAATTTTACGGTTTAGGTTCGTCGGAGAAAGATTTACGGGTTTCGATAGCGTTGCCGCGTGGGGTGAAAAAAAAATCATTTTTGCAAAAATATTTCGATCTTGTAATTGGAACGAATCTTTTCGAAAACATGAATCTATTGCCAATACCATTCGTTGTTTCGAGTTAGTCGATTAAACGCTAGAAAAATTAAAATATTTTTGTTACAACTATTGTATAATCGATTCGTATTCTAAAACAGTCTTTTCCAGAGTGGGAGGGAGACTTACAATCCAAAGGATTCAGGAGAAAATTTTAACGTAGAGGAAATTTTGAAAAATAAAATTTTGAGAAAATAGTTTTCTGTGCTAGAAATCACCGAAAATCGCTTGCAAATATTATTTTAAATCTACCACTCGTAACAATTTTCTACATTTTACGACCTTTGAGTATTTTATTATTTGCTACATAGAGAACGGTAAATATTATTTCAATTTGATGGCTTTTACTAAATAATTTATTGTACTCAATGAGCATTCGATAAACGAGAATCGATAAAAATAACTTGAACATCGGTTAATTAAAATAGACATAACCATGTTTTCTTTTTAACGGTTGGATTTATTGGTAATTTTAATTACCCCATAATTAAATCGTTAATTACAGATGATTACAAGTTGATAATATAATTGAATACAATAACGATTCAATGTACGTTTAGCACACTTCGAGGTTCTCGTGAAAATTAATTTTGATAATAGATCGACAATCCGTGAGCGTGCGTGCACTTCAGTAATAGATGAAGTGTTTAGCTGTGATACTCAACCCCGGGTTTGTAAACATTAGCAGCGTGAATATTACATTGGCAAATCTTCTAGTTAAATATTTTCAATCCAATTCAACCATACAGGTTGCCCAAGCTCCGTGATATCATCAAAATTTAATTTCTACTTTGAAATACATCATTTCTTGCAACGTTAGGGTGTTTAAGTCACAACTTTCGTTTTTAAATAATTTCTTTTACCAAATGAAATTTGTCAAGATTTCGATTCTCGAGGATTTTCGATCCCCATGCGTTCGATGAATTTCAAAATTATTTATTAGGTTTCGAGTTGAAAGTCGAAAGTTTCCAGTTACGAAAATAGTGAAAATCCGACGCAGGATCGAAGTGCAAATTCACTCGAAGCGTAACGAAATTAGAAGCTTTCCGAATCTGTGCCGAAGACGAAGCTCCGACCGCTTGGGAGCCAATTAAAATCGAACAGGATGCACCAGCGATCGATATTTTCGTTGCACGCGACCCCTCCGTGACGACCGCCGATTTCAATAATCAATCGCGGCCGGAAATGCGTAGAGATCGCGCGCCGCGCGGAGAATAGATTCTCATCGAGCGAGTACGTCCGTTACGGGCGGATCTATCGATCCCCTGCAACGTTTCCGCTACTCGAATCATCCCTCTGCTTAATTTCTCCGGCCGCGGCGAAACGCGAACGATCGATGCAAATCGTATTTTTAGCGGCATCGGTAACGACCAGCCGGACGAATTTCTAATCGACGTCCGATCGATACTTACCCCACCACGTCAAATTCATTCTGGATCCTTCAAAATCGTAGAATTTCCACGAATGAAAAATGTCTTTCGTTCTTTCCAAATAGATTCTTCATAAATTAATTCGAAAACGAGTATTATAACTAGACTGCGGATGTTTATGCATTTATGGGGAATTTTAATTCTCAAGAAACTACAGAATGCACTTAATATGCAAAAATATAAGAAATACTTAAAGTAAGATACGAATTATTATATTTAAGGGTCGAGACAATCATATACGAAGCTCACATTTCATTAATTCTATTAATAAAAATATAAATTTCCATAAAGATCTGCAGTCTAATTATAACAGTTTAGCATCTACTGGAATTTTAAAATAACATTTGACGTTTCTATCGACGTTTAGACTCGAAAATATGACTGTTTTATTATTGCTTAAAGTGGAAATTCATTTTTATTATAATTGTTGCAATTTTTCCCCCTCCACGTCAAATTCATTCTGGATCCTTCAAAATCGTAGAATTTCCTCGAATGAAAAATGTTCATCGATCTCTCCAAATAGATTCTGCGGATTTAAATTAATTCGAAAGCTTAGAGTATTAGAATAGTTTAGCATCTGCTGGAATTTTAAAATAACATTTCACGTTTCCATCGACATTTAGACTTGAAAAGATGACTATTTTATTATTACTTAGAGTGGAAATTCATTTTTATTATAATTTTTGCAATTTTTCCCCCTTCACGTCAAATTCATGCTGGATCTTTCAAAATCGTATAATTCTTCGGATTTAAATTAATTCGAAAGCTTAGAATATTATAATAGTTTAGCATCTGCTGGAATTTTAAAATAACATTTGACGTTTCTATCGATGTTTAGACTCGAAAAGATGACTATTTTATTGTTACTTAGAGTGGAAATTCATTTTTATTATAATTGTTGCAATTTTTCCCCCTCCACGTCAAATTCATTCTGGATCTTTTAAAATCGTAGAATTTCCGCGAATGAAGAATGTTCGTCAATCTTTCCAAATAGATTCTTCGGATTGAAATTAATTCGAAAGCTTAGAGTATTATAACAGTTTAGACTCGAAAAGATGACTATTTTATTATTACTTACAATTAGAGTGGAAATTCATTTTTATTATAATTTTTGCAATTTTTCCCCCTTCACGTCAAATTCATTCTGGATCTTTCAAAATCGTATAATTCTTCGGATTTAAATTAATTCGAAAGCTTAGAATATTATAATAGTTTAGCATTTCCTGGAATTTTAAAATAACGTTTCACGTTTCCATCGACGTTTAGACTTGAAAAGATGATTATTTTATTGTTACTTAGGGTGGAAATTCATTTTAATTATAATTTTTGCAATTTTTCCCCCTCCACGTCAAATTCATTCTGGATCTTTTAAAATCGTAGAATTTCCTCGAATGAAAAATGTTCATCGATCTCTCCAAATAGATTCTGCAGATTTGAATTAATTCGAAAGCTTAGAGTATTATAACAGTTTAGACTCGAAAAGATGACTATTTTATTATTACTTACAATTAGAGTGGAAATTCATTTTTATTATAATTTTTGCAATTTTTCCCCCTTCACGTCAAATTCATTCTGGATCTTTCAAAATCGTATAATTCTTCGGATTTAAATTAATTCGAAAGCTTAGAATATTATAATAGTTTAGCATTTCCTGGAATTTTAAAATAACGTTTCACGTTTCCATCGACGTTTAGACTTGAAAAGATG